TTTTAAACTTTTTTATTGATTATGCCATTACATTTGTTCTATTCCCCCCCCCATTTCCCCTCCCCCCCGCACACCCCCCCCCCCACCACCCTCACCCCTCAGTTCATGAACACGTGTCTCAAATTCTTTAGATTCTGTATTTCCCCCTACTATTCTTACCCTCCCCCCTATCTATTTTCTATCTACTGTCTATGCCACTTATTTTCTGTACCTTCTCCCCCCTTCTCCTCCTCCCACTCTCCTGTTGCTAGTCCTCCATGTGATCTTCATTTCTATGGTTCTTCCTGTTCTAGCTGTCCTCTTAGTTTGCTTTTGTTTTAGGTGTGGTTGTTACTAACTGTGAGTTTGCTGTCCTTTCACTGTTCATCTTTTTTATCTTCTTTTTTCTTAGGTAAGTCCCTTTAACATTTCATATAATAAGGGCTTGGTGATGAAATGAACTCCTTGAGTTTGGTCTTATCTGAGAAGCATTTTATCTGTCCTTCCATTCTAAAATGAAAACTTTGCTGGGTAGAGCAATCTTGGTTGTAGGTCTTTGGATTTCATGACTTGGAATACTTCTTTTCCAGTCCCTTCTTGTCTTAAGGTCGCTTTGAGAAATCAGCTGACAGTCTGATGGGAACCTCCTTTGTAGGTGACTGTCCCTTATCTCTTGCTGCTTCTAGGATTCTCTCCTTCATTTTAATCTTGGCTAATGTAATGATGATGTGTCTTGGTGTGTTCCTTCTTGGGTCACTTTGGGACTCTCTGAGCTTCCTGGATTTCCTGAAGTCTATTTCCTTTGCCAGAACAGAGAAGTTCTCCTTTATTATCTGTTCAAATAAGGTTTCCACTCATGACTCTTCCCCTTCTGGTACCCCTATAATTCAAATGTTGGAATGTTTAAAGATGTCCTGGAGGTTCCTAAGCTTCTCCTCATTTTTCTGAAATCTTATTTCTTCATTCTTTTCTGTTTGATCTTTTTTTTCTTCCTTCTGGTCCACTCCCTTGATTTGAGTCCCAATTTTCTTTCCATTACTATTGGTTTCCTTTGTATTACCATTCATTTCAATTAGTTTAGCTTCCATATGTTTCTCTAATTTGTGACTAAAATCAACCAGTTCTGTAAGGATCCTGATAACCAGTGTTTTGAACTGTGCATCTGAAAGACTGGATATTTCTTCATCGCTTAGATCGATCGGTTCTGGGGCTCTGAGTTGTCCTAAAGCCATTTTTGGTCTATTCGTGCCGTTAAGTAAATGGAGTGAAGCCTTAGCTGTTTACCAGGACGGGGCGACCCAGGTCGCTGGTTTGTGACGCTGTGTGTGGGGGCGTGGTCAGAGAGGGAGCAATGGCGGTCCTCTCCGCTAGCCCAGCCCATCCGGTCACACCACTCGCCCCGGGCCTGTTTATCTGGCCTGTTTATCCGATCGGAATTGTGCAAGCCTGCTGCCCCGCCCAAGCTTCCCTCTCACTGGTTTATCTGCACGTGACTGACTGCAGACAGCCCGCCTCGCCCGTATGCTCCCGTAGCCAGCCCCGATCAGCCCAGCGCTCCACCCGGGATTTTTTCTTGCCAACCTGCTCCGCTGCTGGCTTCACTCCTCCTACTGGTTTAGCTGAGCATTTAGTTGTCTTTGGACTCCGTATTGTCGATTTTCTGTGTGGCTTGGTTGCGTTTATTGCTGTTAAAAATAGTTGTTCTTAGATTTGGTTGTGCACAGAGGCAAGGTGGTTCCACCTACGTCTCCATCTTGGCGGAAGTCTCTTCCATGGTTTCTTCATGGGAAGAAAACTTCCCTTATGAATATGACATGGGGGTAAGGGGCTCTTCCACTATGACGTCCCGCAGTCAGCTTTTGTGTCACTTCCTGCCTTGGCTTGGGAGGGACAGCTACTACAATGGCTCAGAGCTCTCACTTACACACTTGGGTGCCTTCTTCTGTGGACTCTAAGCTGCCAAGATCAAAGTGAGCAGCCCAAGGGACTCTGGAGACATCCTCGGGGTTCTCTGAGTCCTGTAGCAGGGACACGGAGCCCAGGGCTTCCTCAGAGCTCCAGTGAGTACAGGGGTCACTCACGGGATAAGAGGAGAGCAGGCACTGGCAGGTGCAGGCCTGCAGGGGAAATGCTGGAGGTCAATCCTAACACTGTGGCTTTGTTTCCTGATGTCCCAGGGCTTGGAAACCAAGACCCCAGAGAGTCACAACTGAGACTAGTCTTAGTGGGTAAGACCGGAGCTGGAAAAAGCGCCACAGGGAACAGCATCCTTGGGAAGAAAGCATTTCATTCCAGCATTGCAGCAAAATCCATCACCAAGGTCTGTGAGAAAGGGAGCTGCATGTGGAGTGGGAGAGAAATTGTGGTGGTGGACACACCTGGTTTTTTCGACACCGAGGTGCCAGATGCTGCCACTCAAAAGGAGATTGCTCGTTGCATCCTCCTGACGTCCCCGGGGCCTCATGCACTGCTCCTGGTGGTCCGACTGGGCCGGTACACAAAGGAAGAGCAACAGGCCATGCAGAAGGTGCTGACCATGTTTGGTCCCACAGCTAGGAGATACACGATTCTCTTATTCACCCGGAAGGATGACTTGGATGGTGTGGAGTTCTGTGATCACATCAAGGAAGCCCCACCATTCATTCAGGATCTGATGAAGGAGTTCAAGGATCGCCACTGTTTGTTCAATAATAAGGCAACAGGGGCTGAGCAGGAGGCCCAGAGGGGCACAGCCTGCTGGACCTGGTCCAGCCGATGGTGACTGGAGAACGAGGGGGGATTCTACACTAACGAGATGTACCAAAGGGGCGGAGGAGGAGATTCAGGAACAGATCCGAGCAATAGAAGTGCAGTGCAGAGCTGAGCTGGAGAGGGAGAAGAAGCAGATAAGAGAGGAGTATGAGGAGAAAATCAGAAACCTGGAGGATAGCCTGGAGCGGGAAAGGAGAAAGGCAGAAATGGAGAGGGCGTTGGCAGAAAGGGAAAATTGCTACCTTTCCAGGCAACGTAATGCCAGGGGGGAAGTGGAGAGTAAGCATGATATACTTTCGTGCATCGTTATGGTATTGATGCTTGTTCGGCCTGTGTTACGATTATTTTTCAAATAATTAAGCTCAGTGGAAATCTGTGTGTATTTCCTGTGAATTTTGCATGTCCCCTCCCTGTATTACTCATCCCCCAAAGTCAGAGCTCCCTGTTTCTCTTCCTCAGGCTGTAAGGACTGGGGATGGTGGGAAAGTTCACTGCTGACGGTTGATTTTACCTGGGAGGGACACATTCTCAATTTGTAAAAGTTCATGGGAAAGTATAGATGCTCCCTGTCTTCTGAACTTTTTCTCAAACCCTCAGAAAAGGAATGCAGGAGACCAGGAGTTGGTGAGTCCAAGCCTACTCTACTTATCCTTAGTAACTGTTTCTCCTCCAGATTCTTTCTTGATTGGCAGATAATCTCTAGGTGTGGCTTCTACTTTTTATTTTTGCCTTTAAGACCTCTCTGATTATTTTACTCGTGTGGTTAGGTCATCTATAGATAGAGATGCTTGCTTATAGAATTCTTTCTTCATGAACATACATTTGTTGAATTACACGCTAACAGAAGTACTGAAATTGTTCCTTATTACCATCGGCCCCCTGAAGGATGGAGAGCTGTTTGAAAAAAACGGATCGCTCAGAACTCAGCAAAGTGAAATGACAGAAAGGGCAAAGGACACCGGTTCAAGAATGTTCAGAATATTCAGATGTTCTTATAGAAATGCTTCGCCCAGCCTCAATGCAAGCATGTTGCTGAATGACCAGTTCTCTCTTTTGCTTGGGAAGCCGAACGATGGCACCACGCTGACAGCACTCTGCACCCTGATGACTCCCTGCTGGGAGGGTCGTCCTCACACTGCTCCCCAGCCCCTGAATTGTTTCCTTAGTGATGCTGTAATAAACCTCTTCTGTTCTTTTGTATCTGTGCAACATTGGAAATTTTTTACATTAGGAAAAGCCACTGATACCTCTTCTAAGAGCACAGGGAAGAATTTCACTTTTCGGTAAAATTTCAAGATGGTTTCTGAGACCTGTGAGAATTTCCTGGTTACAAATAAGATCCCTTCAATATATGGATAACAGTGGTGCAAATCTATCCCTTCTCTCCTGGGGACTCCTACCCGAGTCATTTTTCTAGGAGCCTCCAAAGCACATTTCCATGTTCTAGTAGCAGGTTCTGCTGGTCCCCCTCCCAGAGTAAACTTCGGTGGTCTGCCTGGGGAATGAACCAGGGGACCACAGTGCAGGTCAGGTTAGATCACCACTGGCCAAAAAGGAGAGAGGACAGTCTGGTTCCTTTTTTTAAAAGTAAACATAACAGTAAGAAATGGTTTCACATCCTGAAAGACAACAACCGCTTTGCCTTTGTGAGAGGGGATAATTTATGACATGTGTCTCCCTCCTGGGTGGTAGGATAAGCCCTTCCCTGTTCCAAAAGGAAAACCATCAGCTTGGTGCAGTAATGCCTGGTGCTATCTGGGGGTCCCATCCCTGTGACTTCCAAAATCTCAGTGAGAAAGCCAAAGGCTACAGAAAGCTCTGTTTGTGTTGTTACTGAGGAGCCAGGTAGAGAACTGAACTGCAGGTTTACAGTTTCTGGACACGATCGACAGGGGACAGTGGCACCTGACTGAGAGCACAGAGGGATGCAGGAGGGGGCAGCTCAGAATGTTCCTCTAAGAGCAATAGAGACTTGGGACTGTTCTTGCTGCGGAAGTGTCCCCTGAGCCAGGGTTCACTAACTCTACAAAGGGTGGGGTAAGAAATATTTTGTGTGGGTCTCATAGACACCAGGCACGTGGTACAAAGTGATGAGTAACGAAATGAATACTTTGTCCCCAGCACACCAATGTCAGATGGCTGTGGTCCTATTGGTGTCTTGGATGAGGTAGAAACCTTTCCATAGGAAGGTCAGGTAGAAGATAAACTCTCACGTGGACTATGCAGCTGTGCTGAATCCTCTGTCCTACACCTGGCACTATGGGCTCTTCTGCTGTGTTCTCTGCATCAGAATGAAGGAGCGGGGGGGGGGGGCATTTCTCATTGTTTTGCCGCTGACAGGTCCCTGTCAGGGTCTGCCCCTGAATTCTGAAGCACATGCTTCCACCATGAAGAACTGGTGCCAAATAGCAATTCAATTTCTCATCTGAAAGATTCAAGAGATTTGAAAATATCTGTATCACCATTTTGCATGCCCCTGCCCCCTGAGTTTACAACATTCTTCATAGATTTGGGAATTCTTTAAGACATGATTTTATTTGGCCAGGTGTTTTATATCTTACTTCCCCTCTTGCTCTGAAGCAAAACACTTGGGAAGGGTTGGCAGGTGGTGGGGAGGGGTGGGGAGAGGGTTGCCCTGAGGAAAGACGAGGAAGAGGAGGAATACGATGGAGACTGGCACAGGTAGAACTGGACCGCCAGATTCACCCCAAGTGCTCCCTGTGAGCAGCGTCACTGCTCCTGGGAGTCCGGAGGGGACAACAACAGAGGAAGGAAGTGAAAAAAAGTGAACAATGGGAGACGAGGGATCTGAAATGGAACAACCCCCTGGCACAATCGGTTTGGGAGGGGACGGGAAGATCAGTCAAGGTGGTAAGTCTATATGGTCCCCCAGACATGCACACTGTCCAGTTGCATCATGGGGCACTGGGACTCCTTAGAGCACTGAGGCAGAAAGCATTTTAAAATCTAATCTACTTAGTCCTGTTGTTTGCTTTGTCTGTGCCCCTCCTTTCAGAGAATGAAGGGACATTATTTACCTCTCCCTTCAGTTTTTTGTTTGTTAGGTTTTCTGACCCAACGCAGCCACGCTTGGGTTCTCAGCAGGGAGGGGAAATGTATACAGAATTTATTTTTCAGCAATCACCTCTCTGTGACTTAATGATACAGAGCTTTTTTTTTTTTTTCTGAAATTCATACCCGAGGATGTGTTTATTGATTTTAGAGAGAACAGAAGTTAGGGGGAGAGAGAGAGAGAGAAAGCATCCATCTGTTGCCTCCCCTATGTGCCCACTGGGGACCAAACCCAAAATCTTCTGGTGTACAGGATGATGCTCCAACCAATTAGGTGCCGGGCAGATCCAGAGCTTTTATTTTTTCTCTAGAATTGGGGAGAACCAGGTGCTCCGGAGTCAGCATCCTTGGGAAGCTGATGTTGAAACTTTTACCTCCTTGGTTAGGTTTATGCCTAAGTACTTTATTTTTCTTGTTGCTATATCAGGTGGGATTTCCCCACCCCCCACCCCGATTTCTGCTTCTGATATTTCATTGTTGGTGTGCAAAGGTGCCTTCAACATCTGAATATTGATTTTGTATCCCACTGTTTTGCCAAATTCACTTATTAGGTCGAGTAGTGTTTTGGTGGGGTCTGTAGGATTTTCTATGTGCACTACCATGTCATCTGTAAACAATGACAGTTTTGCTTTCTTCTTTCTAATTTGGATGTCTTTTCTTTCTTTTTCTTGTCTGATTGCTGTGGCTGGGACTTCCAATAGTATGTTGAATAGAAATGGTGAAAGCATCGCAAATCAACAAAGGTAATACAGAATTTTAATATGCAGAAGTTTAATTTTAATAAGCAGAATTTCTAAAGCCCCACCCCTTCTGTGGCTCTATTCTATTGGCGGGCTTCCCTATCAACTTCTGCTTGCTCTGGCAGCCTCCAGATGCTGCCCATCTTCCCTCTAGTCACTGTGAATTTCTGCCTGAAGGCTGTTCCTGGGTCACCAGGACCTCATGTGCTGTGGTGGGGAAACCCCATCAGTGTGGCTATGGTGTGGCCCCTTATCTTGACCAGAGGATCCTGACTAAGGGCCAAGTCCCCTAGAGTGTTGGTCTGTGTTTGGTTACTTCTGGTGCCTCCAGACAGGTGTTTTAAAGTCATTATTATGTATTTACCCCACAATTCATCAAGGGTGTTCCAGGGGAGCTGGGAACTGGGATTCTTTCTTGAGGCTCTGAGCCCCTGGATCAATCTACATGGAGGAAACAAGCTCGTACTCACTGGGCCCTTCATGTGGCACAGACCCTGGTTTTCCTGCATCCCTCCTGTGTTGAGATACTTGTTGAAAATAACTAACATTGACTATTTTCACAGCCTTGACCGAGACATCCTCTCTCTCCCTGCCCCACCCCCACCCTACCAGGTCTTTCTTCATGACACACACACAGACAGTGGAGGGTCCAGGACTGCAGTGACCCCCCCCCCAGACTTTCTTTGCCCTGTGGAACCTCAGGGAGTGACAGTAGTGTCTGTCACTTCTCCTGAAATGTTGTGACCGGCATCATTCCTGAGTTTTAGTAATAAAGGAGAGAGCACATCATATTTGGTCTACTGAAACACCACTCCCTTAGAATTTTTCCTGAAGGCCATGGTTTGAGTGGCTTGCCAATGAGAATCACTGAATGGGTGTCATTTGTCAAATGCTTATACTTCCTATGATGAAATGAATGAAGCCAACAGATCAAACAACACACTTAAGCTAATTTATCTTGTTGTCCTAATGAAATAAATGCAAAC